CTTCATAAATTAAAGTCGCTTCAATAAAATCGATTCATGTCCTCAACTCTCGCTCACAATTTTACTAGCTCGATTTCAATTGAGACCTTCGCATACAAAAATCTGTGGCTTCAGCTTGCGTGGTGGGGGAAAGGGGAGGGGCAGAGGAGTGAGAGCTCCTCTCGCGCGGCACTTTCGATTAATAACAACAGCATAAAGGCTTGTAACGGACTAAAGCCTTGAAATTAATTATGCTAATTTAAGCCTTTTTGGCAGTTGCTTTCATGCTAACAAATGACATTCCGACTAACTAATCTGGCCATTAACCGAACCCAAAACCGAACCAAGCCAAGCCGAACGGAATGGAATGGAACGGAACGGAACTCTCAACTGAGCTGAGCCGGGCTGAGCTGAGAAACCTTCGACGTGAGCCATGCCTCGAGCTCATTTTCTGCCAACTGAGCACTTAATACGCCAAAAGCAAAACAACAACAACAGCAAATAAAAAGCAAACAAGAAATGGAAATCTCGCTGTGTGTTTGTGTGTGGGGGCTGAGGCGAAATTGGCCAACTAAGACCCACAGCCATAATTTGGCCTTGGATTTGTAGCCCATTTGGGGAGCTCAGCTGAGGCCGTTACCGAATGACCAGCAACCGCAACAGCAGCAGGATTTGTGCCTTCAGGAGTAGCCAAGGCATCCAATACGAAATCGTAAAACCACACGCCTGCTCTTTAGAGCTCTACGCTCTGCGGTCGCTCTGACAGACAGACATTATCCAGTTAATGGAACTAGTTAAGAACTCTTCTTCTTCTCTTTTTGAGAAGAAAAACATTTCAATTTTCACTTTGTTAATTGATTTCCGATCAGCAGACGTATTTCTGGAACTAGTTTATTTTTGGTAAATATTTTCAATTTTGATTTGCATAAAGATATTTGATAAAAGTAAGTTAACTATACCACAAATGATCTAGTTCAGCAGTTTTAAAAAGTTCAACTCCATTTTTCAATTCTTTTATTCGAATTTCAAAATATTTACAAATAATGAACACATAATTTAAAATAATACTTTCAAGCGAAGAATCACTGTTCTTTATTAGGTACAGGGTAACAGAAGTCATTATAAATTTGATTAGCATTTCAACTTGAATGCATTTGGCTTTGATATGCCACTAATGTAGTCGGAGATATGTAGTTGCGTATATATACATATATAGCTTTATTTGGTAAATGTCATTCATGGCTAAAAAACCTTCCGCCCCGACACAAAGTGCATAAACAGAGTTTGATGGGCGGCAGCTGGGCTGGAGAGTTGAGCTGGAGGAGGCGCGCTACAGCTGCAAATGAAATTGTTTTCAGCCGGAATTTATAGAAAATATATCTGACGCGCTGCTTATCCTTAGCTCTTAGCCAGCTTCAGCTGTCACACGAGCGAGTGCTGCTCCTGCTCCTGCTCCTGCTCCTGCTCCAGCTTCTGCTGCTGCCGTTCACTTCCCAACGGATTGCTGTCGTGTTTGTGCTACATGTGAAATCCCCAATGTCAGCGAGGCACAGCTGTGCAATATGAGTAATCCCGATATTATGTAGATACAGCGCCAGAGACAGCAGCAGTTGGAGCTGGAGCAGAAGCTGGGACACAACTCGAGTGCTCAGTGCTCCGTGTGCTCCAGTGAAGCCTGCCTAGAAATGATTGAAGGATTTCGCTACTCAACTTGCAAATACATGAGGCTGTATCTGTCTCTTTGTATGTGTGTGTGAAGCACTTTGCTTTCATTCGTAATTGATATATTACAATTGTCCTTTACTCGACTGAGCCCAACTCTCCAGACAGCGCAGTTCCTGTGTCAAATTGTGCAGAAGTTCTATCTCTCACTGTCGCCCAGTGCCACGCCCAGTCAGTCAACAATTGCAGTCCAATTGTTGTTAGAGATATAGCAAATCTATATTTAACTTCGTTTAATAGATCATGCATGTACGCCTAAATTATTCAGATTTCAGCACGAAAATAAAAGCAGCAAAAGAAACTTCCGGGCGCATCATCAACTCGACCAAAAACTGAAACTGTAATCAATCTTAGGGTTACGTTAAGCAGCGGCTGGCAAAAGGAAATACACACATACATGCATATAAACATACATATATATGTATCTGTGTGTAAGCGTATATAAAAAGCCAACGAACCGCATCGAAAAGTTTCATTTGGCTAGGAAGGGGGCGGGCGTTGAGAAAATCGTGAATTATTTGGCAAATGCTTTGCGGCAAATTTGTGCATCCGCCCACTTGAACCCGCCCTCCCAGTCACCTGCCGGCGCCGCCGCCGCCGCCGCCGCTGCTCACCTGACGAAGATCAAAGCGAAATGTGTAACAAAATTGCCAATTACATATAAAACACGCAAAACTGTCTGTGCCCGGCCACCTGGACGGTGGCAGCGCCTTCCACCTGTGTTTGTGTGAATGAGTGAGAGAGAGAGAGGGGTGAGCGAGAACGAGAGCGGGAGAGCTGTTCTAAAACAAAAGGGGCCGCTTTTGCCGGCAATTCAATTCAATTGCGAATTCAATTTTGAAGTTGGCAACGCGACGACGACCAGCAATGGCAACGCTAACATTGCTGCCAGTAAATGAAGCATTTACGAAACGTGTGGCAACGCCGAACCAGCCAGCCAGCAAGCTACGCGCTCGCCCTCTTCTTCTGCCTCACCCTCTACCCAATACACTCTCATGCGCAGCCGGTTTTTGTTTGCATGTGTGTGTGTGTGTGTGGGAGTGTGTGGCAACGGCGTAAAACGAATTTGCACTAAATTCTTTGACACCCACCCCGCCATTCGCCTCTCGTGTGGCTCACCCATTGCTATGGCCTGCTGCGTCGACATCTTTTCAGCTGCTGCTTCGCCTTTCGCCTTTCGGCTTTCGCCGCGGCGCCTTATTGAAGCGAAATTGAATTAGTGCGACGGCGAAAGCGGAAGCGGTTGCTAAGCAGGAAATTGCCTGAAATCAGGCGCACGTAAGCCCCGTCACGCCCCGCCAACCACACACACACACGCACACACACACACATTGCATATGTGTGTGAATGTGTTTCATTAAAATCTGAAATGTAGCCAGTTGTTCGGTCTCTGCACGCTCTTGGCTTTTATGCGACAATTGTGTGCCGCTTCTGACTTCATTTGCATGCACCGCCAACGGTCTAACGGTCCAACGGGCCAACGGTCCAATGTTCAATGTCCAATGTCCGCCGTCCAAAAAGTCCACGGCTGAGGCTCGTGATAATGGCATTCGTTTCAGCTTAATGGATTTCGCACTTAAGCGCTATAGTTTTGATTATTAACACTAATTGAAAGTCATTTAAATAATGCAATTTATATTCCTGTTGCCAGCCATAGCGATAAAAAAGAAAGGAAAACAAAAAGTTTTGAGTCGGAAAGAAAAGTTCATTTTCTAGCAAACAAAGCGTGTACTTAACAGAGAGAGGGAGATAAAGTGACAGAGAGAGAAGACGGAACGATAAATACAGCTAAAGAATGAGATACAGAAAGAGAGAAGGAAATAATTAAAGTGTATTTTGTTGTATGATTCCTCTTATTTCTGTCATTTTCGTTTTGACTTTCTAAGCAAGACAATTCATAATTTTCTTTTGGATCAAATGTAAACTTAAGCAAAATAATAAAGGGAGATTGAGTAAAAAAGAGAGACAGAGAGAAAGTGAGAAAATTTAACCAAATCATGTTCTTAGAATTCGGGTCAGGCAAAATATACATAAATTAATTTACTAAGAAATTGAAATGTTCATGAGTTTATCAATTTATTTCTATAATTTTTTAAAAGTCTGGTAGAAAGTTAATCATAAAAATTGCTGAAATAAAAAAAAACATAAAT